GTCACAGCTGAGGTCATCCAGACCGCCTTGGTTTCACCTCGGCGTGGGTTTGTGATGGGGGATAGCTAACGGAAGCATCAGGGCCGAGTCAAAAGCAGGAACAGGAAGCACTGATGTGCGAAGGAAAAGGTGAAGGGTGAGATTTCTGGGAACCTGGGCAGGAACACCTAGTTGTCACTACCTGGTTAGTCAGTCCTATCTGTCATCGTTGCCCTCTTCTAAGAGCGTGACTGTAACCACCAACAGTGACTGTCATTATCCATATAATAATACTGATAGATTGATTTGGTAGTAGAACTAACAGAAGTCCTCTGATTACTATTCCAAACAACAGTTTACATAAACTAACAAATTAACATGATAATACCAACATGTGGTCCTTGTAGCTCTATTAACTCCTTGGAATATCTGATTGTTGTGTTGAGTGCTGACCAGTAACGTTAGCTACAGTTTCCGGCGTTTGTATTTTCACTCTAATCTATATTTCTTTAGCAATAACACGAAGCAATATTTCTGACTTCAACTAATATATGCAACATGGCCAGAAAAATTGTCAGGCCTTTCCCTCTATAGGCGGGCAGAGGAAGAAGGTTTAAGAGTCGAAAGTTGTTTTCTAAAGACAAGAGACAAAAGCAAAACAAAAGAACCAGTATTGCGTTCAGGAGTGTGCAAGATAATGAGGAAGGCATGTAGATGTTTCACACTATAGAGACTGTCACCACTGGCACTGGCCAGGATGTAATGTCGGAACAAGAATTGCTGTGACTAACTACTTGGGGTGACAGTCATGGGGTCAGGAAAGGATGCTTAGAAGGCAATGGATTGGAAGCTTGAGCAGGAATAGACATTTGCTGTAAAGTTAGGAAGCCATTGCCAAGTCCCTTGGACCTGAATTTGTGTGACGCATAGAACTGTCATGGGAACATCTGATAGCTGGCTGGAGATAGTATCAGCGGAATGAGTGGTGGGGAAGGTGGTGAGGACGGAGGAGAGGGAGTGTCCCGGAGGGGCCCTCGAGCTTTCAGCCTAGTGTGCCTGTGCTCCTCTGGAAGAGAAATAGCCTTCTAATGTCTGGCCATGTAGAATCAAGGTGCTCCTGGGACTATGACCTGAAAGACGTGATCATGTGGCCATGTGGAGTCACGTGACGCTCTGCTGTTGTGAAGAGGCCCCAGGAGGTGGTATTTGAGGTAGCAGTGAAGAAAGGAGGCTGGAGTGGAGGTGCAGGTAGGAATGAAGGCATGTTCATTGAGGGGAAAGCCACAGGATGGTACAGAGGTAATCACTGTTTGGCCCTGGGAAACAGCAAAGCGTGGATGGAACAAAAACTGGTCAGAGTGCATGTGTGTGTATATATACACACATACATGTTGGTGACTGAATCAGGGCAAACAGACCGTGAAGACAAGCTGAGGTCGTTTACCACCCAAACTTGGAGTGCAGGTGAGGTTTCCTGTATGAAAGCCACATGACCAGATGTATAGTAAAGAAATATTCATGTGCTTTAGAAACAAATGCTGAGGAATTTGATAGGCTTTGAATAGAAACATTGAAGAAAAGTAGTTTAATAAACAGAATCGGAAATGCTGGCAGTGTCCTGGTTGTCTGTCCTCTCCCCATGGGAGGTTTATAAGCTGGGATTTTCTTTGCAATACCATCAGCCTGTAGGAGGTAAGGTTGTCCCTTAGCCTAGCCAGGCCGAGATGTCACCTTAGTCACCAAAGAAAGGCTGCCGGGACCTACTTCCAAACCAAATTGCTGTGTCACCCGTGTTCATGAACTTCCATGGCGCTGGGTGTAGTGTTCCCATCATGAGTGCTTTGTTGGGTTTCACTCCTCATTGACTAAAACTGTGAAATATTTAAGAATTCTTAGTGGCTTTCCTTGACTGAGTTGGTTATTTTTTTTTATGATTTGTACTGGGTTGGTGGATTGATGTACAAACACAGTTGCCAGGGAAGTTAAGGCCCCTTGTCTCACATATGATGGTACATAACTTACATAGTTGGCTTCTGGACACAGGCCAGTTTGAGTGCCATCTCTACTGTAGTTCTACCTGGGTTGAAGTAAGGAATAGTCTCACAGGTGTGCTAGTTTCTTGAGAGCTGGAAGAATTTGGAAGATCTTCCTGTTCTGACATCCCGTGATTCTATAATTAATGGCACAGTAACAGCTTCAGGGCAAGCACATGGACACCTCCCGCCCCTCCCGCCCAATAGGGATGCCTTAAGCACCCAGGAGGCACCAAGCCTCTAGGAGGTGCCAGCCAGCCTCACCTCCTCAGCATCCCTTAAAGAACTGAATTTAATGGTGATGCCTTAGTTTAGAGATCGAGAGCACTTATCATTAGCTGGTGACTGATTGCTGGTTTGGTCTTTGTCGTGTTCATTTCTCCCTCCCTTGACTTTGACTAAACTCCCTAAACCTTCTCATAGAGCATCACTGGACTTGGTCAGACTCACCCAGTGAAACTGCTACTCTGTGGACTTTATAGCCCCTTTCTGGAAACATACAACAAGAATTGCTTCAGCCCTATGGAGACTGACCCAGGAGAGGGGCTGCCAGATGCTGGAATGTCTTCCTACATTTTCTAACTCATTATCAGTGTCAGACAATCTGCTGGGTGAATTATGATAAATGTGAGGTATTCTGCTGAAGAAATCGTGTCCTGGAAGATTAACCCTGTGCTGATGACTTGCTCCTCTGCCATGTGGAGTTTGACATGGCACACTTACGCTGGTAGACCAAAAACAGACCTTGAGAGCGTGAGGCATGTCTGGTGAAGGATAATAGCAGACTTCAAGTCTGTGTGATTTATCATTTCAAATGACGAACTCTTTCCCTTCCAGATAGAGAAGCTAATATGGGTAGCTGCTGGTGAGCAGGGAGGCATTGGGAAGGGACCGCCATCAGCATATGTGTCTTCAAAGAATTTTAAAGCTACTGCTCTAGGACTGAGATGGGCCAAGGCAGAGACTCATTCTTGGACACTCCAGAGGCCCTAGGCCTCACCACCTACCAGATCCACGACTTTAGGCAAGACTGTATCTCTTAGAGTTTCTGATTCCCCTCTTCAGTGAAACAAGTTGGATCCTGAATTACTCTGCGCTCAAAGGACTTTCTTCTCTAGTTCTTTGGTCAGACAGCCTCTGAAGTGTTTTCTCTCCAGTCTGGATCCCAGATAGCCCCAAGGGCTCTGCTGTGGGTCTGCACTGATTCTCTTTGATATCACTCCCATGGGAAGTTCCCCAAATATACTTTCCTCCTCCTGCCTCCCTTAAATTACTGATGGAATGAAGTAGGATAAGAACCAAATAAGTTGTTGGCTAGATTCACTTCTCTTTCCTGCTCCTGTCACTTCTTTTGGAAAAGAGCAGCTTACCTCTGACACAAACCTCTGAATTTCTAAGGGACTGGGACATCTCTCCATACCTGGTAGAGCAGATTTCACTCTGGTTTCATGGATTCTTGGGGGCTAAAGGCCCTCTAAACTAGGCCCTGAGGACTGATTACATTCCCATGTTATGATAATTTTCTTTAGGCTCATGGATTCAGAAGTTGGAGTCCATAGCCCTTGACTCTGGGATTCTGAGCCTGTGACAAGGCATGACTGCATGGTCACAGGAGTCTATGGCAGAGACTGTTCAGCTCATGGAAGACAGGAAACTGAGAAAGCAAACATAGGAAGGGATCAGGCATACAGTCCCCAAGGACGTCCCCTTAGTGACCTGCTTCCTCCAACTAAGTCCTTCCTCCTGCTTGTTACCACCTCTCAACAATTCCATCATATTATAGATCAATCAAGGGATTAATCCGTTCATTGTATTATAACCCTCAGGATCCAATAACCTCCCAAAAGCACATGAAGCAAACAAGGCTCTAATACATAAGCTTGTTGGGGAGTTACACATTCAAACCATAACTCAGGCTCTATATTGAATAGGTAGATAGCTACAGATGTAGGTAGTCATCTGACATCATTTCTGGGTCCTCCACTTATACATGAGAAACTGGAGTGTTCAGGATTAAATGTCTCATCGAGGTCACACCATGCTTAACTGGTGGAGCTTGTATTTTCTTGTGTTTGGAGTGTGAACTTGTGTTTTCTGACTTCAGAATCCACGTGCTAACCACTGTAAGAAAACACCTCGAGAGAACCATGACTGAGTGATGGACAGCCCAGAGATGCTTGTCCTCTCCCCTTGGCATGGGAGTCACTGCAAGTGATTTGCAGAGACCAGCTTCTGCTGAGAAAGGGTGGCAGTAACTGCAGGCCTCTTTGGCAGTGTTTATGATACAGAGATAGGGTTCTTTCTGTGGACACAAGCTATCCTAATAGTGCCATTTATCATTATGACAAAGGTGAGATGGGAAATGAGGGCTGGAATGAGGGAAAAAAATTCTGATTATTTTAACAGTTGGAAGTGACATCACCCCAGAGCCTCTATCAAGTAGTAAATTGGAAACTAGATCAAAATTGCTTCGAAATATATCCCGGGATGGCTTTCTACAGCTGTGATAAAGTCTTCTGGTTCTGTTTGGAGATGTGTTTCTGGGTAAAGTTCTCAGAGTGGTGTGTGTTGCCCATGTGGAAGCGGCCCATCATCCCATGAGAGCCTAACGCTATAGGAGGCTATTTGGGGCACTTGTGATGCATTGAACTGGGGCTGACTAAGCCACTTTCCCTTACCATTTCTTTGAAATGTATTATGGAAATCTTTCCACGCCACTATGTAATGTTTTCCAACATTTCAATAGCTACCATTTTACTTGGTTCAGCTCTTTGGTGGAGTGTATGCTTTTGAGAAAAAGCTTTCAGGGCCCCTATCAGTGATTTGGAACAAATGAGGGTGCTGGCTGGTGTCCCTTAGGCCCTCTTATCCATTTGAGGAGTGCTTTTGGATATGTATTAAGCCATGTTCTCTAGGAACTTCCGCTAGAGGAAACACTAGTGGAGGCCAGAGTTTTGATTAACTTATCCCTTTTATTTTCTTCCCTAGGCAGAAGAAGGGGAATGTGGCCCACAAACACTGGGCTGGACCTTCAAATTTGGTTAAGTGCAAGCCCTGCCCCGTGGCACAGTCGGCGATGGTCTGCGGATCCGATGGCCACATGTACACATCCAAGGTTGGTCTTCTGTTGTCCTTACCACAAAAAATATTACAGGTCTGTGTGTCAAGTCTCAGCGCCCAAACAGGGGCCTGGTGGGTCTGACCCTTGCTCTGGAGCAGACTCAGCAATAGTCTCTGGCCTAGGAAGCAATGCAAGGTGGAATGTCACATCCTGTGTAGTTGCAATGTCTGAGGGTTAAGCGGAAGGGTGTTTTGGTAAGTAGCATGTGTTCCTGAAGCAGATCTAGAGGAGTCTGGGGAAATGAGGTTCACTCATGTCGTGAAGCTTGAGCCATGGAGCATCCCAGGAGTGCTGTTTTGTTGACAGCTTGATGGAGGTTTGGTGCTCTGGCTCCATAGCTCCTCTGGCAGAGCTGCACACTTTTGTTAGCCTACTTGAGTTTCTATGTAAGGATTCCCTTGTAGGGTGGAGTCCATTGCCAGTGAGTTGTTGTGGAAAACACGGTGTGTACCTTGAGTCATACTGTTGTGTGATTCTCAAGCCTTTCTGCCCTTCATTCCTTTTGTCCCACGCTGCTGCCTGCGTGGTTCTGTTTCCTGTGATCCCATGCTGAACCTCATGCCACATGGATTCCACAGGACTACTTAGAGAGCCCTCACTGCCTGTTGTCTTCAGAGTCTTACTGGAGTTATTCTGAGATTGTGACTACTCTTCCTTAGTGATATTTAGTGACAGGACTCAGGTGTTTTTTGTTCATCGAAGGAGTTTTATCTCCTTCTGATTCATGTTTTTCTAACAAAGAGGAATATGTCTCATAAAACTGAAAGCTAGAAAGCGTGCGTGGGTCTGGCCTTTGCTCACACCCATCTCATTTGTTAATGGGATCTCAGTGGCATAGCATTAGCATGAGCAGTTCCTTTGTCCATTCAACAGGTATCATTTGAGTCCTTGCTCTATGTGTCAGGCACTATGCTAGGTGCCGGGAAAACATAATATAGTGCTAACAAAGCAGTTGGTTTTTATCCTGACAGTCAGCAAGCCTTCTCTCTTCAACTGCAGAGCTTCCCTGTGAGCTAGAACTTCTAGTCCAAGGTCATAGCTGGAATGTATTCATCCTGCCTGAACAGCACCAGCACATCTCAGCCTTCCGCTTTCCCTTCTTCCTCCTGACCTCAGGCAGAATCAGTTTGAGAGAGATTTTAGTAACTGGACTTGTTTCTGACATCCTAAGCATGTCTCGAAGAGTGGGGCTTCTAGGGGTCCTTATAAGTGGAAAATTATTTTTATCCCCCATTCTCAGAGACGGGTCCTGTTTTCACTTTCTTGAAGCCAGGATGCAGGACATATGGGAAGTTGCCTGGAGGTCCAGATAAAATACAGATTTAGATATAGCAGGCCTGGGTCAACCTAGGGTTTTGTACATCTAACAGGTGCCACAGACTCCATTTTGAGTACTGAGGGCTTTGATTTGTATAGTATCCTCTTAATACATCTCCCTGCCTCTACCTGTTCTTCCTAATCCCAGAATCCATTTCCACAGAACAGAAGATGGATCATTGTTATAGTAAAAGTCTGCTGTGTGTCTCCCTGACTTAAGTGCCCGAAAAACTTTTCTTTTGCCACTAGAACTAAACCGAGACTATTGCCATTAGCACAGTTCTCTAGACTCAGATTCTTTCCTACTCCAGAATCATAGGAACATCCATCCATTGGTTCAGCATCTATTCATTGACAATCTCTGGGTAGTCTAGGTATAATGAACATCATAGGCAGGAACAGTGGTGAACAAGACAAACACCATTACTGCTCACAGAGAAGTCACAGTCTGGTAGAGGAGGGAATAAATAATGAGCAAATGAATATGTGATTTCAAATTTCAGCAAGCACTACAAAGCTGCTGGAGAGGGGTTGGGCAGAAAGAGGAGGAGGAGGAGGGAGAGGAGGAGGAGGAAAAGAGGAGGAGGAGGAGGAAAAGAGGTAGAGAGTAGAGAAAGCTGCTTCTGTAGTGGGTAGTCCCTCTTTTTCAGGTATCCTTTGAGAAGACAGAAGTATAGGATGTTTCCGAGAATATAACCTGTGCTAGGGCAGCAGGGCAGCATGATGTGCTTGCAGACCTGATGGACAGCAGAGTAGTTCCAATGGTAAGGGGCGAGGCATGTGTGATGGGGAAGAATGTATCAAAATAGTTGAGGGGAAGACATTTATTGGCCAGGAAGTTGAAAACATGATAGAGCAAATTCGGACTTGTGGGATGTTGAGTATTACAACATCCCACATGTGAAATCCTGAAAATACAAATGTTCGTTATCAGCCCTGCCAGGCATGGAGTACGGTGCTTGGTGGATGTATTGCTATTAGCTGGAGAGGTGTCAATAAGGGTTCTAGCTGAGAAGGAATGGAGGAGTCCAACATACATAACCTGTCTGAATGTGACTGAATCACTACCCTTCAATTTCTGCATAAGCTTGACAGAATCTAAGTTTCCCAACATTGCTCAACTATTTTCCTCGAGCAAAAGAAGAGATCTGAAGATACCTTATCAAAAATTACTGTTCCTATGTAGTGTGATAGCCTTATGTTGCTGTCATAAAATGCCTAAGGTCATCAGTTTATAAGGAGAAATAGTTGGTTCTGTCTGAAAGGCTTCATCCTATCATCATTTGGCCCCATTACTTTGGGCTTGTGGGGGGACAGTGCAGTGTGGATGAAGCATGTGGCAGAGGAATCCTGTTCACCTTGTTATGGCTTTGAAGCAAAGAAAGACACAGATAAGGTCTGGGATCCCAGTATCTCCCCATGGACACACTTCCAGTCATCTAACTTCTCCCTCTGGGCCTCACCTCCAGTAGTGCCACAGACTTGGGGTGAAGCCTTCTACACATAGACCTTTGAGGTTTATTCCATATCTAAACCACAAGGCACAAGGCAGGTCTTCTTCCTGGATGTGAGTGATCTACCCACTTCTATGGCATTAAAACAAAGAAGCAGAGTGGAGGGAGGGACAGCATTTCGGTGGATGTAGTGTTAGGCCTTGGCACAAGTGTCCTCCCCTTCTGTCTTTTGTTCCCTGTGAATGTAACAGATCAAATATGATTCGGCCACAAGCCTTGTGTGGATTGCTCAAAACCTCTAAAACAGGGTCTGGTTGCAAAACCCTGTGGAATTCAGTGAGGCTTTCCTCCAGGGGGCATGCTTCTATCTGGTCAGGTCTACTACTGGATGATTTTCTTATTGTCTCTAAGTACACAGCTAAGTGTTTATTAAGGTTTAAAAGGTTGTTTTAGCATCACAGAGAAAGCATTGGAGAGTATTAATAGAGGCTCAGTTAATATGAGTGAGTGGGTTAACTATTAATGAACAGTGACTTCCTATCCCATGGAGTTGTGGCCCTTTTAGGTCAGGAAACAAAGGACAGGTAAGACCATAGTGTACATGTAACCAAAAATAATTTCATAGCATGAAGTCAATCTTAAAAAAATAAGTTTTGGCAGAAACACATTACAACCCCAGTCCAGCCGTCACCAGGGAAACCCATGCCTATGTGAAGAGTCAGTCAAGTTGTTCAGGTGAATCGTTTGTCTCTTCAAGATGTGTCTGAAGGCTGTGGAGAAGCAGCAATAGTGAGAAAGAGCCTGAGTGTCAGCCTGGCCTTGAAGCACGTATCTGTCCTCAGTACATGCCAAGCAAGCAAGCTTTCCTTCTGGGTCAGGGCCCGGGATCATCCAAGCCTGGAAGGCGATGGTGGAAGGGGATACATTTAGAAGTGTCATTCACTATCAGGGATTTTCCAGTATCTCAATATCAGCTTCTGCCATTCAGGACCATAGATAAATGCACAAGAATGCAGACTTGAGATCACAAATAAGGTGCTGCATGGCATGTTTATTCTGATTCTGTAGATAATAACCCATAAAAGGTACAGAAGGGTGCAACCGGAAATCAACACCCTGAGGACCAACTCTGTAGCTCAGTGCAGAGTGTGATGTCAACTTTGATCCTGGACTTAGATTCCAGGTTGTAAGTGTCACATTATTTCTGAACTGCCTTCAGTATTACATTCTTCTACCCAGAAAACTGCCGTAGTCAAGAAATTCAACATCACTGAGTTCTTTCTTACTTGGTACCAAACATACACTGAGCAGTAGTGATATTCTAAAGATCAAAATAGATAATGCCCATTTTTCATGAAACATGTAAGGAAGATAGACACATTGGAGAGGAGTGGTTTATCTCTTAGCAGTTTTGCACTGGGAAGAATCGCCTCCAGTGTGGCCATGTTGAAGTGGTTGAGACTTAGGTTACTGGGTACCACTGACTTTGGATGAGGTTAACACTAACCTTGGAGACTGAGTAAATTCTCTCAAGAGTGAGTTGGTATAAACAGAGCGAGACCTGACCCTTTCTTGGGCTCTAGGATCCTATGTTGCAATGTTTTTCATCTCATATAGTTCGTACTATGATGCCATCATCTTGACTCATACAGCGCATATGGTGGCCAACGAAGCCCTGTGAGATAAACTTTTCTTTATACATTACCCAACATCCAGTATTTTAGAATAGCACTAGTTGGCATAAGATAGTAGGTGTTTGGATAAGAGACAGTGAGGATACTTTGGGAGCACTGAGCAGGGTCACAGTCAGCAGTTTGGAGGAATAAACAGTCTTCTTGGAGGAAGTGATGGTACTATCAAGATCTTAAGGCCGAAAAGAATCAGCTAGTGAAGAACAGGGGATCAGAACAGCTTATTCAATGAGATGGATGAAGGGATTGAAGAGTGAGAGAAAGCAAGGCACCTGAAGGGTAATTCAGTGTCCGTGTGGCTGGGCCACTTGCTGGTATGTAGGTCAACTAGCTATAGAAAGGCCCTCTCAGTAAGGTGAACACTCCTTCTGTGCCCTCACACACACACTGTCAGAGCAGACAGGAAATGTTTTCTCTCGCAACTCTTCCTAACTTCACATCTTTATTTTGTACCTAGATATAAGAGAGACACTTGCTAATTATAGAAAAGTAATCAGGGGTCATATTTAGCAGCTTGAAAACCACATGAAAG